TATATCATGAAATGTTTGTGTTATGTGCAAAAGTATGTATTTATTTATCAATCCATGTAGTAATTACAATTCTAATAACAATGTTAAATGAATATTTGGTAAAGCCATGCCAAATAGGTGTACATGTTCCTCCAACCTCCCAAAAACTTACTTCTTGTGCTAAAAGTACATTATTAAAGGTCAGCTGCAGATCACCAGCCAAATCCAAATCAATACCACTGACTTATACGAAGGAGGATTTTGAGCTGTATAGCAACAGACGAAACAAATGAATGAAGTGACTGGCACATGGGCATGCAGTAAATGTATGTTCTGAATAACAATTTAAACAAATCAAATATTATTTAATCCCTTTTTGGTCAAGATATCATTATTTGTATAAATCTGATGCATGCATGTCAAGTTATATTGACAGTTTTATATTTAAAAATAAGAGATATTTACCTTTTTTTTAATGTATTGTATTTGTGGCTCTTTGGTTTCTTCATCCCTGCTGCAGTCCAGTTTATTTTATTTATAGACTGCTACTTGTATTTCATTTTAGATTTGAGATAAAAATCTTAAATATAGAAGAAAAAAATCTTTAGAACCTCACCTGCTAAGGAAAGTTTTTTACTTCATTTAGCAAATACGCATGCGTAACAGATCCCTGATAAAAACTGCTGAGTTTGTCAGTGTCACTGGAGAACTAAAGATGGTGATGACAGTCAGAGAGAGAGACAGCTGTCTGCTGGTGAAAGCGATCTAAGTTTACCTGCAGATTAAGGCATGTTTCTCAGGTAGGAGTCAGCACAACCAGCAGTTTGGACTCCACCAGAGCAGCTTAACAAACTCAGAGAAGCACGTCAGTGTTAAGGCAAACGTATGCATTAAAATGGGGCCGCAGTGGCCAGGAAGGGAACATGTGCACTGAGGAGTGCACATTTTACAGCCAATCTATGCTGATCACAATAAACTAACAGAAAAATGAATGTGCCATACATGTATAGCTTCCAAATCACTGAAGACAGATCAGATTTTCATGAGGTCTTAGCCCTAGAGAGATATGCCCATATTTATGAATTGCTGCTGTATACGATTTTTTACAGTTTTACATATTATTAATGGGTTGAGTGGTTCTTCATCTTTAATTATATAGAAAAATCCTAGATGACTGCAGAGACAAATGCACCCCTATAAAACAGCAAGATCAATAAATACATTTTTTGTTAGTAATCTTTATTCACAGTAAACAGTTGTCAGTTCTTGGATAATATACTAAATAAAAAATGTTTTTCTAGATGATGGTTTCACTGCGGCCACCTTTTGGTTTAAAGGGGAACTATGGAGAGAATTTTGTTTCAAAATATATATACATCTTGTAAATGTGTGTTCAAAGACAAATACAATGAAATTAGGAATAAAAAATAAAAATACACACATAGAATCTGGTAATCACAAATTCAAAAAGGTTCCTACGCGTACAAACCATTAAACTTATGCACATGAACCAAATGAAACGCACAGACAGGCAGCTATACGCAAATCAGTTTATGAGTTCAAAGCGTTTTTTTCAGACATATTTCACTCTTACTGCTAGCCATGCCCCCCGTAGAGCAGAGCATGGGATTAGAAGAACATAATAGGAAAAGATTTTATATAAATTTCAAGCCTGTTTCTTCACAAGCAGTTTTTGTGAAACAAAGAATGTTATTTGCAATAAAGCTCTCCTGACATCTACTGGAGCTATCCGCCTAAAGACCACCATCGCCTTCACCTTCAACAGCCTCTCTAGCTCTTCTCCACGCTCCTAGTTTTTCTCAAGCTTCTCATGTTCCATCTCTCTGATGATACAGTCACTCAAAATTGCCACTTCATGTGTGCTGTTTAACCAGCATGGCCCCTCTATCTAGTGGCATTTTCCACTCTTTTACTAGTATTCCACTTTTGTAAATGTGTGCATGAATGGATGAATGATTGATGCAAAGGCCATAAAAGGCAGTGATATGCCAATTTTCTCTATTTCTGTTCAGGTGCATCTTTTTTATTTATGACATGCACCAATCCAATCTAATACCTATAAATGGACTGAGCACATCAGCCTTTGCTGATACTACTGTTCAATGAATGCTCCATATATTTTACCATGTGAGTGAGGGCATCAATCCTGACATAAATATTGTTAAAAAAATAGGTAACAAATTGGCAAGATAAATATAAATAACGCTTCCATTTAAAGTTTATTCCAAACCCATGTAAAGTGGACAACAAACAGACTTTATAACATGTAATAAAATAGCAGCTGCATGCCAATGCTGGATCAGCATCTTTCATCCGATACAGCTAATCAGTCAATATCACAGCTGGATATTCGATCGGTGCATCTCAATTATTTATACTGATCTTTTGTGTACATAAAGGATAAGCTAACTTTAAATCAATAAGTTAAGCTTTTTTTTTGTGATATAATAAAATGCTTGCGTTTCAGGTAGTGAAAAATCTAATAAAGTCTGAATTTTAACCATTTATAAAAACCTGGTTTCAGATTTTCTTTGAAAACTTAGACAAACTTTATTGTCATGTGTATACAAAACAAAATTTTCATTTTGTACAGCTCTTTATTTCCATTTCTTAAAGTGCAGCAGTAATCAAATGTAAACAATATGAGAGAAAAAAACATGAGGCAAAAAAAACAAACATTATTGAGTCTGAAATTGTGTCAGTTCAAAAGTATGATCTCACTTAGATTGAGCGGCAAGTTATTTTTTTCAAACATAGTTAGGTTTTTTGTTTTTTTTTACTTCTATGGTTGCATTTTTCTCTAAACACATTTCCAACTTAAAAGCTCCTCTCTGGGTTTAATTGTAATATTTTCATGGATTTTAAGTTTTAAAGTTTAGTCAAGTTTCCTAATTACTTCCTAACTTAAAGTAGCTCTATACGGTGAATTTTTATATATAAAAACTACATACTGTAAAATGTTTAAGGTTGAACCAACAACTATAATATAAACTAAGCTAAATTCAGTGCTTTAGTGCTGCCCTCTGCTGTTAAACAATTTAGCTTGTTTTGTTGGTTTCTCTAAAAGATTTATCCATTTCCCTCCTTTTAAATCAGATTTTTTTTAATCTGACTAAGCCACAAACAAAGAGTTAGCAAAGAACACACTTTAGTTTGTAAAAACACTTTATTTTTTCCAAAATGTTCAAAAATATCTTTTCACAGAGGCACCGAAACATAAGCATCCCATCTCATTGGTCAGCGCTTTTTAAAAATCATAATACTAGTAACCACAAGGAAAAATAACAAAAACAAAAAGACAGAACATTCAAGAAAAAATAGGCAGTTTAAGGGGAAATAATAATTTAATTCTGCAGCTGGCAATGTGTTGTCACCGCTGCTTTCTGGGGCATTTCAAAGTGCACTCAACTTTTTTTTTTGTTTTAATAAATACAAGTGAATCAAAACATTTTAATAATTGTTCTGCCCAATGAGAAACAGTGATAATACAGTACAGTTACTCAAATAAGGCAAACAAATCCAAATGTGCAAAAACTAAAACATTTAATGCTAGTTATAATAAAGGGTCTCCTGTTGTGCAAGAAGTAGGTAGTTTCCATTTTTCACTGGCCTTATCCAAGCAGCATAGAAAAACAAAACTTTATAAAGAGGAAACTGTGCAGAAGCTGTGAATAAAATAGAAGTTTTGTTCTTTTTTAAAGAAAGGTTTAACGTTTGGGATTTTTAAATACCAAATCTATTAAAATTATTAATTACAAATTGGTCCATTATTACCACACTTTGTCTTAAATTAGCTAAAAGCAAAGCAGCTGTATTTGCCATCTCAATTTACACTGCAGGTAAACACAGAAATTTGCTGCTGAAAACTAAGATAATTCATTTGAACATCTTTCCTCGGGTATGCAGTAAATCTGCAGGATGTATTTATTTTATCAAAGCCACATTTTGAAGATGTAATTGATATTAGAATCATAAGAAGGTCCCTCAAACCCTGCCATTAGTTTCAACACTGGTGGGCGAAGTCGTCGAAGTTACCTTTTATTGATAAACTTGTGAAGAAATCGAAACTTTAATTGGGTTTCTTCTTTCGTAATAAGTTTTTTTTTCTTTTGGAGTAAAAAAAGCGCCTCGTCTCTGCCAATTTTTAATCGGTCTTAGATTATGGTGACCTTTTTTTATAAGAATGCTACTTTCTCATGTCTTCAAATCTTGGACTGTTTACCATGCTTCATTAAGGTTCATCACAGACTGTAAACCGTGACAGATCACTGTGAGCTGTACTCTTAAATGGGATGGCCTTCCGTCTCTATGAGAAGGCAGCGTCATTGCTACTCTTTTATTTATAAGGCCCTTCTTGGATCACTGCCCTCTTACATTCATACTTTATTTATACAGAAAAGCAGGGCCTCTTATTCCCTTAGATCCAAATGATCAGCTGTTGCTCACTGCTCCTTTTGCCCACACAGATCTAGGGAAGAAAAATCCCATATCTATGCAGCTCCTTGTGTGTGGATTTTTTTCACAAACAGACTAGAAGCTGAATGAGTTTTTATCCTTAAATGCTTTACAGTTGAAAATGAAAGAATTTGAAACGGCTTAAATTATCTGTCATTGTTTTACATCATATATTTTTTTATGTACCTGTCATTTAATTTAATGCATTTCCGTTCAGTATGTAACTTTGCTGCCTTTTGGCCAGGACTCCCTTCAAAAAAAGGTTTTTAACCTCAAGGATTTTTTTCCCATGGTTAAATAAAGTTTAATAATAATTAGCAGATATTTTGGATTTTGATTAGGATGCATCTGGTGTATAGTTTACTTTAGCAGTCAAATATCAAACTGACACCCACACAATCCACCAGAGAGTAAAACTTACAGTAAGGTTGGCAGTCAGCATATTTCTGTGATTACAGTATATATGTAAATGAGTCAGAAAACTACAGCCTCACAGGATTACGCTCGTTTACCTTTCTAATCTGTCATTTCAGCAATCCTTGTTAAACTTTGACCAATCTTAAAACCAATTCTTTGGAGTTTAAAAATCATACTCAGAAAGATGGATGACTAAGGTGCCTGGAAAAATATTAGACAATTGCACATAAAGTGCTAACATGCTTTGAAAAAAAAAAAACAAAAAACAAAAACCAGTTCAATTCCTATATTATTCAATATGATTAGTTGCTAAAGGTCTATTTCATTCAGTCCTTCATGCACAAAAAAAATCATATTACATATTACATCATTACACACTTGGTGGTAGAGGATAAAGAAAATGAACACTTGTTTATTGGAGGAACAATGTAAACCCAGTAATTCTCTAATGCTAACAGGCTTCTCTCCACATGTCGTCCTTTATTGCCCAAGTGTGATAATTCATTCTGATTTCTTCCTTATAGCTGCATTTTGAAACAAAAATAATGAATAAATAAAAAAAAATGTGAAGCTAAATGAAAACCTATATGATAGCATCAAAGGCTGGTTTGATTATCAGTGAGAGTAGGAAGATTGGGGTCTCTGTGCTCTGGGATTGGCTCTGCTGCTCAAGATTTAGCCTGAGAGGGTAGCTTCAAGTATAAAAATATTAATTTTAACTAAAGCAATGGTTTTGGATTTAATGCCATCACTGCTGATTTCCTTTTCCATGAGAGAAACATGAACAAAAAGAAGCACTAAACGGGAAAAAAAGTTCCCACAAGTTTGAGTACATCCAACAGCATATCCTGTCTATTCCTATTTGTATCTGCTCACTACCCTTTTTAAAAAAAAATAACACTTATAAAAACAACAGTATTCATTTCATACAGATAGATTAAAATAATGCATAAGGAAAAAGGCAGATTTCATGCAGGCAACCATATTTGATCCAAATCGATCCCATTATCTGAATGCCTCTGCACAATAAAATAAATAAACCAACCCAAGAATGATATCATTTCAAAATATTAGGTTTGTTTCTATAAAACATTAAACATTTCAGCTCCATGCATTGATACGTTTTTTTTTTTTCATTTACCGTTCTAAAGCCACTGTGAGGGGACTCTGACAGCATGTAATAATAACCAGCGTCAGCATCACAGGCATCATGCGTTTACAGTATGTGATGCTTCAGCCTGGGTTCACTTATCTGCCGTTAGACCAGGTGAGACAGGGCCGGCTGTGTCTGAAGTCCATGATACCAACAGCCGTCTGATGCCACCAGTAAAACATCAGCACCACCAGTATGTGCCACAGTTGGTGGCTGGCGCCGATATAGTTCACCTGACCTGGAGGGAAAAAGGAAGAAAACATCTTCTAAAGACTGGAATTTAAAAAAATATATATATATATTAAGGCTGCAACTAACAATTATTTTGCAAATTGATTAATCTGGTGATAATTTTTGACTAATTAATAATCAGATAGGAATATATTCCTTAGAGAAGACTTTAAAGCAGGTGAAACTAGAACTATATAAACTATATAGAACTATATAATATAATATAATAATATAATATAATATAATAAAAGAGTTCTAGATAGAGCAGATTGAGGACGAAACGTTTTTTTTTTTTTTTTTATTAAATGAAATATGTTTTTTTTTTTTACAATTTTGATATAATTACAGTGGGTTGTTTTGTCAGCTATAGGCTGTTTTAGAGTCTATACTCCAGTTAATAATTAATCAATTACTAAATTAGTTGGTCATTATTTTAATAATCAATTGATCATGATTAATCAGATTATCTTAAATCAATTAATACATCCATAAAGTTGAAATATAAATTATCTCCAGTTTATAAACTGTTGTTATTAGAATATTAACAGATAAATTATGGTATAAGATCTGGTATGTTTACTTTCTAACAGATTTAAGTTGCTAGATCGCACTAAAGCTCTAGAATTGAATTCAACTTAATTTATAGATTTAAAGGCACTTGGCAGATTAGTTAATCTGATCAGATCATATTGGAAAGACTTCCTCTTTTATCATGATAGCTCTAATTAAAATCTAATTGAGTGTAATTAGGGTAGTGAGTTTCAGCTAGTGATGTGTGACCATTGAGGATTAAAGATAAAGGTAATTAATTTACTACCTTCAGCCCCAGTTTTCTACTGCCGCCTACAGTGTTGGCTTTCAATGGAGCCACACCTAAAATACCAGGGCCATAAAAGGCTGCTTATTGATTTCTTTCTTTGGTAGATGCAGCTTTTGACAGTCAGGCACAGTGGATTAATGTGATCCTTTTTAAAACTGTTTTTCTTCTTTTATTTGATATTTCACCTTATTTTTTTTGCTGTAACTTTTAATTTAATTTTTTTTATTATTATTATTGTCTGTGTACCTGAATGCTTTTATTTCCAATTTGTTCAACTACTGAAACCTGAATGTCTAACAATCTACCCTACTGATGCTGAGGATGACATCTGATTTTTAACTTCCTTATTTTTTGTAGAGAAATTATTTGTAAGGAATCTGGACTGTATTTGATATTTTGCTTAAAGAACGTTTTTAAACATTTAACTTATAAAGACTCCATGTTTTCTCAACACTAAAGTTAAAACCTTATCTAATTTTATTTTACAAACCCACTGTTGCGTAGTCTAACCGAATGAACCGGATCTATGATTACACCCAAAAGGCCTAATTCTAATAAAACAGTTACAGGATTTGTTTCAACTAGTTGATAATAAGACACAAAAAACATCCTAATAAAAAAATACTGTTTTATTTTGCTGTACAGTAGAGGCCCGGAGCTTTAAGAAGATTTACAGCACAGAGTTTGCAATATTGTTCTACGTTAAGCTGACCTGGAGCCTCTGGGTTTGAGGTTTATCTTTGCTAGAGGAGTCCATTGAAGGAGGCATTACAGCTAAAATAAAAGTAGTCTCTTTATTTTTATATTCCATAAAAAGTGCACCAGACTAAGCAGTTTGCGTTTTATTTCCCTCTTTTCTGTTATCTCATCATCATCCTGTTTTAGGGTAAAGGGCCTAAGAAGATGGCATTAAAATATACAACAAATCTGACAGCATTGTGTCTTTTTTTTGTCTGCTAAAAAAAAAAGGATGGTAGTTTTTATTTTTATTTTACTCATTATAAAATTCATCAGATTTTGTTTATAACCTTGCATAATCGGGACCTGTTTGTTTTGCAAATTTTACAACAGATGACCTTTGGCACGAATTGGCACCATATAGTAATAAGACTCCATTCTCCTGAAACAAAATACAAGTAATACTTGAACGTTTATTGCATACTGCTTCTTAGGAAACAAAACCTTTGAAGTTTTTGTCCATTATTTCATAAACTGAGTTGAAACGACTGAGTCTGCCTTCTCTTTGTTGAATCAATACTTCTTGTTTCACAGAATGTGAAAGCAATACCTTAGAAAATATTTAATCCAAATTGTGATAATAGGAAGCATAGTTTGAAGCGTCACCTTGGTCAGATTTAAAAGGGGTCATAGAATGATTCTATAGGATATTTGGTGCTGGTCCTTAAGGTATCTGTATAGGGTGTGTAACATTGGTTGGGCTGAAAATGGCATATTTGCTGTTCTTTGCACCCTAATGCAAGCCTGGTTAAAAGCCTCAGAATGAAACGACAGGTTATCTTCCTTTTATGGTATGCTCATTAATATCTAGATGAGCTGTGCGCTGATTGGTTGGGTTACAACAAGCGAGGCGCCAAGCAAAGACGCATCATAACAACAAGCACTCACTCACTGAAACATCAAGTTGTTGATATGGTAGGGGGGAATTTCAAATTCGCCCGGGATTTCGATCGACTACAGTGCATCATGTCAACCACAGGTCATTTCACCCACTGAACTATTGATAATCATCTATGACAATGTAAACTCAATTTTGCATTCTATGACACCTTGGAGAACTAAAATAAAAGCTAAGCTACAGTGACCCCTAGAGGTGATTTGAGAAAAACAATCCTTTAAATTGAAAGAAATAAAAGGACCCATATCCAATTTAATTCATACAGAGTTTTGAAGTTAAATAATCCAGTATGGCTGAGTGCTTCTTACAAAGGCCGGTTATAGTTTTGAGAAATACATTTTAGAATTTCAGGATAAGTTCATTAAAACACAAAAGTGTCAAACATGATGGAGATAAAGAAAAACAGGTGAAAAGTAAAGCTCACCAGGAAAATAGCGCTCTGGTATTTTGGTGGCATAGAACAGGAACGCAGATCCAGCTATCAGGTACATTCCGATCACACGAGGCAGGAACAGCTTCAAATAGAACCGATTTAGACTTTTAATCCAAAGTGGGAGTTTCTTTGTTTCTACTAATGATGTTTTTCTTTTCTCACCTGCACAATATCAGATGCAAACCCTTCACTCAGCCAGATCCAGTGGCAGGCAGGAATCACCCCAATGCCTGCCACGCAGCAGAAGATCGACATCCTTATAACCTTCCAGTCGTTGCTGAGGTAACGAGGATGGACCTGAGCGCAGAAGACGGCCAGGATCAAGGAGAGCACGGTCAGCAAGTAGACCTGCCGCCAGAACTGAGGGAGGAAAGAAAATAATTAAAAAATACATCAAACTTAACAGAAAAAAAAACAAACAGAGATTGTCTGCACTCACAGCATTACAGTAGAAAGCGTAGAAGATCCCAGGAACATAACAGCCCAGGATGCCCACAGATATGCCGGCGTAATCCAGCGCCAGCCAGCGGCGGCAGGTCTTTTCTGAGCGGTGGCACGAGAACAGGTGGTAGCCCACTGAGCACAGCATGCAGACCTGCAGCAAAGAAAACAGGCACTCACACTGCTGGAAGGCATGTAGCTTCTCCTTCAAGCCCAACATTAAACATCAGTTTATTCATCTATGCAGAGAGCTGTTAAACAGGTATGCTGCCTTAGTTAGCCACAATATCACATTTGGTATTATTAGCAAAGCTTTCTACAAGAACATTCAGTTTATCTAAGATGCTCATTCTAAGATGTACACTAAAGGGTAGAGATCTCTATAATAGAAGCAGTCTAAACCAGCTAGTTAAGTCAGAGGTTTTTAGTTAAATTGAATTCTACACAAACTAGCAAAACACACAGCCACCAGTCAGCAGTTTATAGATTATAACTACTAAATGTCTACACACTCCTGTTAAATGCACAAACCTGCCACCACTGTGTTTAATTATGGGTAATGTGTTTCTTTGTTTATGTGCAGTGTGTTTTGTGTCAAATGTACCATTCAAAAAATCAAATTAAAATTAACAAGATTATGGGATTATTTTAACCTGGCATTAATTCTTTGGAGGAAAAATCTCCTTTCTGTCTGCTTAGTTTAGACTAGAATCAAGCTCTGGTTTTTATATACTAGGGACGCACCACCGTGGAAATCCTTTTTAAAAATGATAATCAGTAGGAATGTTGTTATTAAGGCCTATAAGCAATAAAATACATTAAATACAGGTGCTGGTCATAAAATTAGAATATCATGAAAAAGTAGATTGATTTCAGTAATTCCATTTAAAAAGTGAAACTTGTATATTATATTCATACATTACATACAAACTCATATATTTCAGATGTTTATTTTGTTTAATTTTGATGATTACAAATGACAACAAATGAAAATCTCAAATTCATCATATCAGAAAATTAGAATATTACTGAAGACCAATAAAAACAAAGGATTTAAAGAAATGTTGGCCAACTGAAAAGTATGAACATGAAAAGTATGAGCATGTACAGCACTCAGTATTTAGTTGGGCCTCCTTTGGCCTGTATTACTGCAGCAATGCGGCGTGGCATGGAGTCGATCAGTCTGTGGCACTGCTCAGGTGTTATGATAGCCCAGGTTGCTCTAATAGTGGCTTTTAGCTCTTCTGAATTGTTGGGTCTGGTGTATTGCATCTTCTTCTTCACAATACCCCATAGATTTTCTATGGGGATAAGGTCAGGAGAGTTTGCTGGCCAATTAAGAACAGGGATACCATGGTCCTTCAACCAGGTACTGGTAGCTTTGGCACTGTGTGCAGGTGCCAAGTCCTGTTGGAATATGAAATCTGCATCTCCAAAAAGTTGGTCAGCTGCAGGAAGCATGAAGTGCTCTAAAACTTCCTGGTATGTGGCTGCGTTGACCCTGGACCTCAGAAAACACAATGGACCAACACCAGCAGATGACATGGCACCCCAAACCATCACTGACTGTGGAAACTTTACACTGGACTTCAAGCAACGTGGATGAAGTGCCTCTCTTCTTTTCCTCCAGACTCTGGGACCTTGATTTCCAAAGGAAATGCAAAATTTACTTTCATCAGAGAACATGACTTTGGACCACTCACCAGCAGTCCAGTCCTGTTTCTCTTTAGCCCAGGCAAGACGCTTCTGACGCTGTCTGTGGTTCAAGAGTGGCTTGACACAAGGAATGCGACAGCAGAAACCCATGTCTTTCATACGTCTGTGTGTGGTGGTTCTTGAAGCACTCACTCCAGCTGCAGTCCACTCTTTGTGAATCTCCCCCACATTTTTGAATGGGTTTTGTTTCACAATCCTCTCCAGGGTGCGGTTATCTCTCTTGCTTGTACACTTTTTTCGACCACATCTTTTCCTTCCCTTCGCCTCTCTATTAATGTGCTTGGACACTGAGCTCTGTGAACAGCCAGCCTCTTTAGCGATGACCTTTTGTGTCTTGCCCTCCTTGTGCAAGGTGTCGATGGTCGTCTTTTGGACAACTGTCAAGTCAGCAGTCTTCCCCATGATTGTGTAGCCTATAGAACTAGACTGAAAGACCATTTAAAGGCTTTTGCAGGTGGTTTGAGTTAATTAGCTGATTAGAGTGTGGCACCAGGGGCCATCAATTTTGAACCTTTTCACAATATTCTAATTTTCTGATATGATGAATTTGAGATTTTCATTTGTTGTCATTTGTAATCATCAAAATTAAACAAAATAAACATCTGAAATATATGAGTTTGTATGTAATGTATGAATATAATATACAAGTTTCACTTTTTAAATGGAATTACTGAAATCAATCTACTTTTTCATGATATTCTAATTTTATGACCAGCACCTGTATATGTCTCTACCATTTCTAAACTAAAAAAAAAAAAACTACGGCAGTGGAAATTCTGCTCCGTTTCTATTAAACACCCCTGAATCCTAGTCTTCGTCAGCATCCTATGCCCAAACCTGTACATCAGACCCAAAGCCCAACACAAGCTGAAAATAAATATTTTTATATTAAAGCAACTTTTACTGGAAGAGGCAACAAATGGCATAAATAATTTTACTAAGATCTAAAAAGGGTTTAAACAGGAAGGAGGAACTCTAATTGAATGCTTTTTAATGCTCTTAGAAATAATTTTAATGCATTCAATAAGTACCCATTACTCTCATATATATATATATATATATATATATATATATATATATAAACTCGGCCAAATCCTTCGTAATCTTTACCATCGACAGGCTGCAGCCTTTTTATAAATGCCTTGATAATCACATTTAATGAATTTTAATGCAAATGAAGGCCTTAATTTAAAAAAAATAATAATTAAATGACTTTTAATGATTTTAAATGACCCGCAGAAACCCTGTTAAATAGTCAATATTTAAAATTTGCAGCATGAATAACCATTGCTTTTTAGTTAAAAGCAATAGGCTCAAGCTAAACTTTAAAAGTGTGACTGGTGCTTTACTCAAGGTTGTCCTACTGTAAGAACGTCAAGCCTTCTTTTCCTAAAGCAGACATACAAAAGTACAAAGGAGAACGTTGAACACACCCACTGCCCGCTGAAGGATTAGCAAAGCTACTTTAACAAGTTATAATGACAGGGTGTGTAAAGTTACGCAACCAGGTCAGTGCAGCACCTTTTTGTTACATATCACCCCTCAAAACAGATTTGTTTTGGAGCTCAATTGTTCGTTATTTCAACAAAGGTTACCTTAAGTCTTATGTCCTAATTTAGCTGACATTCAACAGGGCTGTGTACACCTCTGTCAATCCACTGTACCTCAACGGTCAATACACACCTGAATGCAGCTGACTGAATCGGCAGCAGGAAAAGTAATCCCACATTAATCAGTTTGTTCAACCAAAGGGGGAGAAACTGCGACACAAAAGCCCACCAACGGTGGACGGAAGAGAAGGCGCTTTGGTGTAATGAAGAAAACAACAAAAACACAGCTCAAATATACAGACAAAAGCAGCTTCTACCTGGAAGCAGAAGAGTCCTATAGCATAGATGACGTAGTCCTCCCTGTTTGCACCAGCAGCTGGTAATACTGAGGAGAGGTCATTGACCCCGAGAGAGAAAAAAAGGATGAATCCAAGAAGGTGGCTCCAGATGTTCACAGTCTCATTAGATAGAATAAATATACTGCAAGAAGAACAAAGATCAAACATAACTGTAAGCATCAATGTAAATCAAAACAACCGACTCTTTACAGATGATTTTACAGAACTAGGAGAAAATTTGCTTTATGCTTTGATATTAATGATCTAGAATAAAAAAATATTTTGACCACTAACCAAGATGCATGTTTACGCACTGCATTACATTCATTATTAGGTATGGGAATCGAAAACCAGTTCCTGTTCAGAACCGGTTCCGTGTGTTCCAATTCCATAGGACCGTTTGACAGCTCGCTTCACGATTCTCTTAACGGTTCCAGGCAGCACCAGAGCTTGGCGCTGGGCAGCACGACTTACGTCACGTTTTTTACGCAAGTTACGCACATGGCATTCAGTAAGCAAGTACGACGTGACCAGGTGTAAGTCTAGGGAAGCAAAAAAAACAAAAAAAATTGGTGTCCCATTGGGGAAAACGATGAGAAAGATGGCAACAAGGCACTTTGCAATATCTATAAGAGAATCGATAAGGACTTGAATCCTTTCACAGCAAATCGTATCAATTCTCAACCCTATTCATTATGCATTGCATTCTTGATCACTGCTGCACTTTATGATTATGTTCATTTCATTTCACTGTTGTAAGCTGTTTGCATTGAAATTTCATTGTGTTTATATACAAAATGGTAATAAAGTGTGTCTAAATCATTGTCCTTTCTAGCTGCACTGAGGCAGAACACTGGATCCAGCCAATAGGGGATTAATAACAAATGTCTTTCTTTTTAATTTGTGTTTTAAAACAAAATAAGGCTGCTTTTAAGAAAGAGGCAACGATATCTTAGATGTGTTAGAGATCTAGACCTTTAGCATCCTGTCTGCTGAGTTCTGGTAAAACTGTAATATTGCTAGCTGCCTCTTTTGTGCTACTGAAGTCCTGTTTTCCCTGTGTTGCTGCTCACCTCTTCAGACAGAGTTTGGAGGTCAGGTGGGCCCTGTAGCCGTCTGTGATGTAGGGGTTTTCTTTGAGGAAGAGGGGAATTTGTTCGTAGGTGTACAGCCGGATCCTGTGTGGCAGCAGCACCGGCCAGTGCTGGTAGCTGCCCAGCTCTATGTAGTCGGTGGTTTTCAGCAGCTTCATCTTCAGCAGCATCTTGTTCCCCGGCTAAGCTAGCTGGGGACGTTAAGACTGCCGGTGGATAAAAAAAAAAGGGGGGGACAAAAGAAACACTTATCAATCTAACTGCAGCGGGCCAAAAGCAATCAATCAAAATACACAATAACAACCGCCCCCCTCAAATAAAATACAGTCTAAACGCTCGGGCTCGATGTTCTGATAATGTGTTTTAAAACCAGTAAAGCAAAACTGCCCAGCCTGTTTGTCAAACCGGTTTGTTTATGTCGCCTAGCAGGCTGAACCCCTATGCTAATGCTAATGCTAACAGGTAGTGAAACTTGCATAAAAATGAACCTGGAGCTCACCATTATGTGTCCTACCGCCCCCGAACTGTTATTTTAGCCATATCCCGACGGCTTTTAGGTTAGCTCGACGGTTAGCAAGAATCCCATTTTCGTACATTTACACAATTAATCACTAGGATACATGTAGAAACCCTAACAACACCAGCTTGATTTGATGGTAAATGTAAAAGCTTTAAAGTACGCGTTACTGCCATCTACTGGTGAGAGTGCAGAACTCTTCTTCATCATCTTCTTCTTCTCAATAATGGCGGATCGCAAACAAATTTAAGGTGCATACCGCCACCTACTGTAAATGAGTATGTATTGACATTACTTTACATCAAATTCTATATTTTTAATTTTGTATTTTGTAGATAAATAAATAATGCTTTCCTTAATCTGTGAATATCCTTTATATTTCCCGCATTTCCCAGTATGCCTTTAAGTCTCCATTATTTGCCTGTCCTTCCAGCTATTCTTCTCAATTTCTACATTCTACGTTTTTTTCCCCTCCACATCCTTTACATTTATCATTATTTTTCCTCCCTGTTAAATATAAATTGTAATTTAAATAGGTATGACCCACTCTTATCTGAACATTATTACTTATGTGCTGTGTTTAACACCGGAGTGCTATTGTAGAGCTGTTTCATCCTCTAACAGTGTAGAGGCCTACTGTTTTTGTTTTTTTTTTTACATATAAAGGTATCACTAATCTTACTTGACTGAAATTTCTGGCTACTCCATCCTATTTGAGTAAATTAACTTAATAAAAAAAAAACAGCTTTAAAAAAAAAATATTTACCATGTGCTAAACGTTTATTGGATAAAATTTATTTTTCCATCTGCTGAGTCTGCCATGTCATTCTGAGGTACTACACCAAGTAGTACAGTATACTGTAATTTACTCTATTCTACAAACTAGAACCCCTTATTTTGTAAGTTTTATAACAAAAAAAATATCTGTTGTTATGATCATGGGTAATAAATAGGTAGATCAGTTACTAAGTATTTAAATGGTCTTTTTCCAAAATACGTTTTTAATTTTACTTTAGTTATTTTTAGTTCTTACGAATAAAAATAAGATGAAGTAGTGCTACTTTTATTTGAGTAAATGTGTTGGGTGCTTTACTCAGCCCTGTCTCTCGTCTATGGTGTCAATGATGGAGCTAATGCTGCTGTTATCTCAGATGCTTTCTGCATTTCCTTTATCAATGAAAGAAATGTTGGCTCTGAAAGAAACAGCTTTTTTGCCTGATGAAGCCTTGACATAAACACTGTCATTTTAAAGAAATTTACTTTTTTATTTTGATTCCCACAGAAAGTACACCTGGCTTAAAGTCTTTAACTGAGTGTTTCATTTCTCCATTTAACTTGTATTCCCATTGTTTTATCCCTCTATCCTTAAAAGTGCTCATGGATCAGTTTCCAGGTCTCCCTCTTGTGCTCACTGTTAAAATAACAGGGGTTGCTTGCCACTATCACCACATACTTGCTGGATTACCGCAAAGGCAACAAAACAGCAGTTAGGCTTAGTTAGATGATTTCACAATTTGCTATTGAATTACCACAGACTTTGATTGTGTTCAACTGAAAATCAAATGTCTTTAACATAACCATAACCAATATAACCAAAATTTTGCAGAGATTCGAATTTGGAATGCAGACATAATACTCAGAAAAAAAATTCGGATGGTGTTTTGTGGAGATTAGATCAGGTTGAATTATGATCACAAGTCTGAACTGCATTGGAATTATTAGGATTGACCTGTTTTTGATATCTGTTTACCTTGATTTATGTTGGACTTATTTGTCCAATAAAGTGCATTAAATAGACCCTTGAAGTTGAAACTATTCAAATAGATATTTATCTGCATTGATGTACATTCACACATGTACCCACAAATCCATTCATGGGTTCGAACAAAATCATTTAAGCAACCTTGACCTTAATCTCCTACAAAGAGTCAGAATGGACAGCAAAAGACAAATCATTTTTTTTTTTTTTTTTTTTGTTTGATCACAGGCTTGAAATTATATTGCATATATATATTTCTTTAGTCTTTTTTAATAAAAAAAAACACAAAAAAACCCCACCCTTTTTCCTTTGTATGCTTTAAAATGTTTCATTTAGCATATTGAATAATGCTCTGACATTAAATCCTGCTCATGCATTTGGTGACATTGTAATTATAACTCAGCATGTTTTTGACACCAGGCAATAAGTCATGCTTTGTTTGTGCGTTTAATAGGCGAAGTTTATAATTACTCCAGAGACACTTTCATTTTTTAAAACTGTGAGCAATTGGAGGGACCGGCTGTGGTCAGAGTAATTCTGTCTCGGTTTTTAGCGGTGACAACAAGCATTTACTCATGCATTCTTTGCATTATTAACCCTCCATTAATCTGGTATTCAACAATCGGCTTGACTAATTGTAAACTTTTTCTATTAAACTACAACTGATTTTTCCAACTTTGCACATTAAAAAAGCAATCCAGATAGTCGGATGAGTATTAGAATAAATGAGGGTCAAACCACAGCTACAAACAAATCAGATATCATTCATTTTAATGGATGCATTTTGCTCTGTTCTTATATGAACTGATTTCAATGAAATAAGTTAAAATAAAACAACAGGTTGAAATCCACAATGCATCCCTGCACACTTCAGAATGAAACTGAATCACAGAGCAGCTGCATCTCTGAAGGACTGATGAAGTCAACATCTCCTCCCTCAGGAGGTTTGCAAGGAGAGCAAGTTGGGAGATGAAACTGATCTTTTCCAATGTGTAAGAAGCTAAAAGATCAATAAATCATGACTTAGCCAAGCTGTCAATGACATAACATCTGAGTAATGAGTAATGGTGATCACGGTCATTCACCACTGGGGAAATCAGATATTGGATCTGACAAGAGTGCTTACACACCAAGGGAGTTAGAACGGCTTACTCAATTATGGATCCATCTGCACTGGATTTACACAATTATGATGCACTTCTTTAGACATTTTACATAAAAACACATTGTGCAGATGATTTATGAGACAGACAAAAGAATTTCAATATATTAGAACTGCATTGCTCTCACACAGAATGAGAGGGATGTTCATTTTTTTTTATACAGCAAGAAAAATATGTTTGGTGTCATAAAGAAAATATTTAATTTTAAAATGAGTTTTTTCATTTCCAAGTCAGATCTTAATCATATCTTTCTATTGTGAATAATGTTGTCAGCAACTCATGGGGAAAGCATGACTGCTATCATTGAAGCATGACAGGAAGAGGATGGTGATTTTGTTTTTTCAAAATAAAAGTCCACACAAATCATGTTAGTTTGACTGCTATTAAACACTTTCAGCATGAAAAAAAAGTGATATCTGTTTCAGTTAACATTTTCCTTCTCTTCATTTGCTGCATTTTTTCTTCTTTTAACGAGCCTCCTAATTTCCCTGAAATATTTTCAACTTTAAGTTGATTATTTGTTTATTTAAGGATCTATATTAGTCCCTAAGATGGTAAAGATAATTCTTCCTTGGGGCCACACCACAAGAATATAGTAAAATGATATTAGTATAAGTAGGATATATATTTATTGCAGAAATTAGGGAAAAAAAGTGTGGCCTTCATAATATTTATTGAGTTTAGTTATCATTAGTTAGTAGTTTAGTTAGCATTTATAGACAAATGTTATTAACAACGTCAGTAAAGTCCAGTTTGCTTAAATTTATCCTAAATCCCCTCTAGATTCTTTTGTTAAAGAAGGTAAATAAAAATTAGTTAGACATTAGTTGCATTTACTTAATATGAATTGGTGCCTGCGTCATTCAGGTTTAAAAGTTAAGTCTTGACTTTGTTTAATTGCAAGAAAGAAATGTACTCCAAATTAAATGATGAGTTTCTAACATTTCAATTTTCAGTGCTTTATATTTCTTTTTTTGTTTCCTTTTTTTTTTATATACTTTTTAAACCTTTACCTTAAATAGAAACGTCTGATTACTAATAGTTAACTGTCACATAAAAATATGCAATGGTTTGAATAAATCTCAGTAAATATTTTTGGTAATCTCTCTGTATTTGTTTTTTTTTATTTTATTTTATTTATTCATTTATTTATTTTGTGGTCTTTATGAACCACTTAATCTGGCAGGTAGTAGTGATGAGGTTCTTAAATCCTAAAACAGGATTCTTATATGTTATTTCTTTTTTGTATTATTTATGGTAAATATCTTATTCACACCTCCAAATATTTACAACAAAAACATAATTTCCAGATTTTATTATCTTCTATTAATATCTATAATATATAATATATAGAATCCTTAAAATGTAGTTCAAATGCTAAATCCTTGCAAATTATAGCAGCCCTCAAAGAATTATAACATTTTAAAAATAATAGCTATTTTTTGTAAAGCCCTTTGTGGTTGTATATGTTTGTAATTATTAATGTTCTATATTGTTCATGTATGTTCTTTTTTTGCAATAACAAAAAGAAAAAAAAGAGAGGTTGTTAAATCCTTGCAGGAAGTGAGCAGGAAGTGGTCCTTTGTTTTCATCAGGGATGGTCTGAGGGTGAAGCTGCAGCTGAGCGCGCTGCCCAGCTTGGCTCCAGCTCGCTGCTGCATACATGCACCGATTCAACATGTGAGCCGCCGATATGAAGCCATCCCAACACTAGTCGCTCCTTTCTTTAACCCCCTTTGAATCGCTTGGTTTGGATATATAATGTATGGACTATGGATCGGATCTGGACGCGGTGCCAAATCCTGCTGCTGCTTCTGTGCGCGTTTTCACTGAGTTCATCGCTGCGTGAGGAAGACGCGTCCTGCGATGGAGCCTTTGACATTTATTTTGTTTTAGACAGGTGAGTTCTTGTTTTTGTACTTATGGGACGTGTTACTATTTCCCTGGAGCACAGTCAGCCTTTACCTCAGTTTTGTCCATGTATGGTTGCGTTTTCATGTCCCTCATACTTTGATACACAACTGGTCTTATCACAAGTCAGTTATTTCAATCCTCCTTAAAAAAAAAAAAAAATTATATATTCTAAATTGATTTAAGTGGCTATCATAGAATAGTAAAACGCACTACTCTAATTTTAATTATTATTTTTTTCAATTACAATTCTTTTTTTTATTACATAAAAATAACTTTTAAGATCTGTGCCTATTGATTATTGTATGATTGTAGTCTATGTTTATGTACAATGCCTTGCAAGAG